GCTCAAACCTGCCATCTATTAATGAGCAAAGTTGGATGATTAAAAGAAAAAATACAATCCAAAAGCAACTTTATTTAAGTCATAGAAAGGTGTCTGGTATTGCAGAGGACCAGTGTTGGAGACCTTACTGGCCAACTGAGTTGGAAACTGCACTTTGGTTCAACATACATCCATTTTACTCAAACTATTTGAGAATGCCCAGTTGAGAAAATGCTAACATCAAGGAAGCGAGAGATTCATCCCCAGACAGTCTTCCAACTTTCATATTTGTGTAGATGCTATTGGGGTCTCCCAAAGAGTTCCTAATCAAAACCTGCTATTTCATTTCTAGCTTTAAACTGGTAATACCTATAAAATGTAGATTGGGTTCTATCCATTATTAGATTAGATTATATTTATTATCAGCAGAGCCTTGATAATAATACTAGACACCATCAAGGTAATAACAGAACAACTAAATGCCACTAGTAGGATGGCATGGAAAGACTAGCTTTAGGTATATTAGCTGGAAAGGGAATTATTTCTCTGGTGATTAGAAACTTTTGCTGCACAAAGGCCTTACATAGATTGAAGGCTGGCAAAAGGTGAGCCATTTACTAGCTTGTTGATCAATAATTTGGAAGACAAAGGAATGGTGCTGTCCAAATTTGCCTCTAGTACTTGTTTTCATAACAATGCCTGTGTTGGTTGTTGTATGAATGAGGGCAAAACATCCAATTCTTAAATACTCTCCCTTTGGATATTGCTGAATGGGAAAGTCTAGCAAAGCTGACTAGGTTTGAAAAAAAGATAAAACAAGGCAGGACGGTAGGAGTTAGAATCTTTTCTGCCAAAGTGCTTGACATAAGCACTGCCCTTTAAAGAAGAGCTGCTATCTTACAAAAAGCTAAGACTGCTTTTCTGACAAACTTTGACCAGATACCCTGGTTTTTCCTAATTTGAAAGTTTATCTGAGCAAGAAAGATTATGATCCTAAAATTCGGATGAGTGAGAGATATGGTTGCCTGCCTGCTCAGCATGCTTGCTTGGGTTCCTGTCAGTATCAGATTCTTCTGCAGAAGTAAATTATGCCTTGCTGGGTTCCTTTCGAGTTATGGGATATGAGGTGTCACATAGGAGAAAACATCAAGATATTTACAACAACTGCTCTGATGAACTTAAACTCCTTATTCGGGATAGTTTTGGAAAAGCACAAGTTAAAATTGTATATTAATTATACAAAGGGATTTTATTGTTACTTACATATATACAAGGTGTACTTTTAAAGAATTTGATCACTCTTCCCCTTTTTATGGCCACCATTATAGAATGTACTTCAATCATCTTCATCTCCATCATTTTCACCTGTCCTGTTCCCCATCTGGCCGGTTCTTGCTCCAGTCTGAGGGTTCTTGTTTATGTCTTTTGCATAAGTTATTGTAAGCAAAAATACTTACAGAAAATATACTATAGACTGTGCTAACAAGGTTAAAAAGTCTTAGAATGGAAGATGCATTATGTTAACTCAGATATGCCTATCTTCAAACTTTTGTTTCCATTCTTTTCCATGAGGGGCCTGCTTTCACATCGGAAGTGTTTATTATTTTCTGTTTATCCATTGAATCATAAGCATCTCCCATTACTTATTCTGAAAACATAGGCACCCATTGGTGGTGAGCCTCTCTGTTAGTGAGCAAGGGTATTTTTCATTTTATTGGAGCTTTGGTTCTGGTTATAGTTTATCTGCTTCTCCCTCTGCAATTTGCTTTTCGCTCTTCAGTCTTTCCTGGAATAAAGCTGAGCAGTGGCAGAGCAAGTAGTCAAATGCTATGTTCACTCAGTGTGCTAGACAGCAATCTGCAAAGTAGGTATGTGCTCAAGGTGGTCCATTGAGGCATGGTGACAAACTATTATGTAAGTTATACATACACACAAGGGAGTAATCTGTCTTTAGCAGAGATGTCATGAATACAAGATTTTGAAAATATTTTGTGGACTTCTCTACAATTAGGCTTGAGTTAATTTTGTGTTGCTATTACAAATACTTGATAGTCACCTTCGAAAGGCTTCTTTTGGCTCAAAAATTTTGAGGTTCCAATCTATAATTGGGCAGACCTACTGTGTTAAGGCCTCCTATGTGGAGGATGGGAATGACATGATGGGTGTATGGTGTAGGAAAACTATTCACTTCATGGTTAAGAAAAATCTGGGGTCCCATTTCTCACTTCAAGGACACACCCTACATAACCAGAAGACCTCCCATGACACACCCTAAATAACCAGAAGACCTCCCACTAGGTCTTACATTCTCATTTGCACCATCTCCAAGAAGCTAAGGGCCGAGCCTTTAAAACACAGGCATTAGGTGGACACTTAAGATCCAGCCTATAGCATTACTTTTTGAACAGTAATGTGCATATACATTATTTGGGAATTTTAAATGTAGCTTCAGATTCAATGGGGCTGGGGCTACTGAGCATTTTTGAGTTTCTAATAGCTTCTATATTAACACATGTTTGGGATTGGGGATTACTTTTTGAGTAACACTGCTCTTTGTACCACATTCGTGCCTCAAACTTCAAGTTTTCAGCTAGTATCTTAACACTGGAGGAATGAGAACAAGCAAAAGAAGATACATAGCTATTAGGCCCCTAAAAGCCACAGAAGATAGGCAAAGAGGTAGCTTAAACACTAGCACAGGTTTATTTGGAAGAAAAGTCTACAGAAAGGGTCTCAGATGTTGTAAGGTAAATTATCAGAATTCAGAGAAACCACATTTTGAGAGATAGAATCTTGAAGTTTTTGTGACAATGCACTGCCTACAGACTGCTAACTGAATAATGAAGGCCTGCAATCCGCAAATACACTTAACACAGCTAGGGAATAGGTTGGAGAGGAAAGAACAAAAAAACAAAAATTCAGCTCTCTGATGGATAGCTGAATTGGACACCATGATGACTGGAGACAAGCCAGGAGATGAGAGACAGGACAGGAACATGGAGATACACATGGCATGATGTCCCCCACCAGGGGAATGGGTCACAGGACACTCAGGCCCAGGCACTGAACTGACAGGTTCAGTAACCTCTCAGCCAAGTAGCCACTCCTATCTCCAGGGATCCAGGTGTGCCTATCACCTGAGGGGGTGTGGGAGCATCACCCTCCCCTACCATAAAGATTTCAAACCTTAAATGGACTTACTCAGGTACCAGCAGAACTTTTCCATCTAAGGTATGCTTAGAGGCTACTCAGAGGCTGGTGATCCAAGCCATTTAGGGAGTTAATCAATGCAGTGTGATGACCGTCCCCCTCCCCCCCCCCCCCCCAGCCAAAAAAAAGAATGTAAAATGTGAAAATAAAAATTTTTGAATTTTTAGAATAGGGCCAAACTATGCAAGGCAGGATTGAACTGGAACAACTAGTTATGAGGAAAGGACTAGGCCTATTTACCCCCTAGCTGTTCCTTCTACTGTAATTACTAGTTTTGAAAAAGCAAAACACCTGGCCCCGAAACTAGGAACTGCCCGTTGCTTTAGGTCAAGAAGTTGTTACAGGAGTACTTACGGTTTTAATTGCTTCCGGATTGTTTGTGACTTACGAGCTTGCAAAATAAAATAACTGCTAAGTTCTTCTGTACACCACCTTGCTTGAATCTGCTCTAAAAGAATGCTTTTTTTTTTTTCTTTTATAAACCCTGAGCTATTTGAGTTTGGGACTGCTCATTCCCTAGATGAGTTAACCCTGGCTGGTCAATTGAATAAACGATCTTTTAAGATACTGGTCAGCGTCTGTAACTTTTGTCCAGGGAGTCAGTCCACTTCATCTGGATGCCCCAGTGAGATCCTATTCTCTGAACAGGACGACTCCTGTCATGACCTGACTCCTGTGTCAGGGGACAGGCCACATGGCCACACCTAGTGGAAGGCCTTGAGAGACATTCCTCAGTCTCAGGTGCCCTTGCTCTGTGAAACCCCTGAAATGAACTCTGGTGTTTGTTCTACCAGTAAATTTCTGCCTGTCATCATCATGTAAAAACATAAATGAGTTGTTTTAAACTCCCAAGAAAAGTCATCAAGTTTTGCTGTTAGCAAAAACTTGAAAATTAACTAAAGTTCTTCTTCAAAATAATGCAATAATCCTTTACATTTTTGATAAGTCAGATAATTTGATTACAATGTGAACAGCTTAATGCATTAAAACACCAGATCTTTGGTTTTCTGTAATATCCAAGTTACTATTCACTGGCAGAAATTTCTTCTGTTGTCTGGCCTCAGTCCCTCCTGCTGTTAGAAATTTACTTTCTCCCCTGAACCCCCTTTTCCCTGGGAAAAGAATAGCCATGGGTACAAAACTGTGAAATCAGAAAACAAAACAAAATTATTGATAAAGGGCAAAAACCTCCTGGTAAAGAAAAACCCCAGACAAAGGCCGACCAGTAGTCAGCTTTTGTCCTTTCCCCATCCTTGATAAAAAAGCAAAAGAACATCGCTCCCTCAATTTACCAAACTGGCAGCTTTGCAAAAGGCTATTGACAACCGAGGCTTATCACCAGCTGCATTAAAGAGCTGTTAGGAGCTTATAATAAAATAATTTCTAAAGTAGTGTCAATAGCTTTGATAGTATTGATCATGCTGACCAAGTCAAGATTATGTTTTGCCTATGCTTCTGTGAGTCAAGGCTCTGTTTCTGCCAAGTTTTGCTTCTATAACCTTGCTTGCTTGCCTTGGTAACAAGGCCTTAAGCCCACCAATTGAAGACCACCGCTGAGTGGTCCCACTATGAGTGGCCCATTACAAATGATTACATATGATATTACCATAAAGAACAAATTAATTTAAAGGTTCTAGCTGTAACCAATGAAAAATATGCCAAACCTGCCTTTCATGGCTTGTATATATAACTCTATCTAACCTACCCCTATAAAAACGCATCCTACCCTGAGCTCAAGGCTGTTCCTACTTTCCCGGTGGTAGGAAGTGGTCCCATGTGGTGGTAATAAAGTTCCTAGCTCGGCAGAGCGCATGCGGCAGCCCAGATGCTGCAGCCGCCCTGGGTCTCCCAGCCTCCGGGCTCCCGCAACCCCCCAGGCCCCTGCAGGCCCCCGGGTGCCACCCCAACCCCGGAGCCCACGCAGCCCGCCGGGATGCTGCTGGCCCCGGTGGTCACCGCCACTCGCGCCATGGTCGCCGACCGACTTGGTGGCCGAGCTGCTGCCACTGGCCAAGGACGTGCCGGGGACCCCGCCGCGGGGCCTGGCGGTGACCAATGGCGGCTTGCCCCTCTGGCCCGGCGCGCCCGTGTCCCCGGGCTCAGCGCGGCAGGAGCCCTGGAGCGCCTGGGAGACAGAGCTGCTGCTTGCCGAGCTGCTGCGGCCAGCTGTGTGGCGCACACTGCCCACCTACCGCCAAGTGTCGGCCGCGCTTGCCCTGCGGCAGGTGCGACACACTCCTGCGCAATGCTGCTGCCGCTACAAGTTCCTCAAGAGCAAGGTGCGCAAGGCCAAAGGCCAGCCGCCCGGGTCCTTCGACACGCAGATCCGCGAGCTCATGGGGCTGCTGGGCGACAACCAGCAGGACAGGCGCACCCGCCGCAGCCGCCGCCCCGCACCCTCTGTGCCCGCGCCGGTTCCGGAAGACCCAGGTAGGCAGGCGGCTGGGCGGAAGAGGGGAAGGGATGGCAGGGCTGGGGAGAGGGGGAGGAGGGGGGAAGGGCAATCGGGGCAGGAGGCTGGAAGGGGCGGCTGGGGCCGGAGGCTCAGAGGCCAGCGGGCGGGTGGCAGAGCCCTCACCCCCGCCGACCCAGTGCTCCCTCCCGCAGGTGCCGCGCCGCCCTGGGCCCCCGCCAACCTCTTGCCGCCTGCCACCACACCTTCGCTGAATGCTGCTCTGCTGCAGACGCTGACGCACCTGGGCGACATCTTGGGCATGCTGGGCCCTCTGCGAGACCAGCTGCTGACCCGGAACCAGCACGTGGAGCAGCTGCATGGCTCCTTCGACCAGACTGTGTCCCTGGCCGTGGGCTTCATCCTGGGCAGCATGGCAACCCAGCGCGGCATCTTGGGCGAGCTGAGCTAGCCGCACCCGCCACCACCCCCCCAGCATTCAAGAAACCCTTTTGGATTTAAAAAAAAATAAAGTTTCTAGCACCTTTATCTGGGTTTTGTGAAGTCTCTTTTGGATCCAGGATATAATAGATGTAGGCCCAAATGAGATCCAGGACCCCGGGCCTTGAGCTCAGGGACTTTGGACTGGTGTCAGAAGAGCCACTCCCTAGGGGACAGCTGTGGAGAGAAGTTCCTAGCAGGAACTTAGAACTCAAAAGCCTCTAGAGGTAAGTTGAAAAGCCTGGGCAGGTATAGTGGAAGGGGCAGAAGGGGAGGTGGGATGCATCAGAACTCCCAGCCACTGAGGAGTTTGGGATGCGCCTCTCCCCAGTGGAGGCACTTTCTGCCAGGTAGATTGGCCCTCCCTTAATGTAAAATTGCTGCAGGAGAGCTCCTCTAAGCTAACACCTCTCTTCTAGGTTCAGAGAGTTATTTTGGGGCTCTCAGTCACCGAAATCAGGTCCCCTAAACGCCAGAGCTCACCATTCTCTGAAAAATAAAAACCCAGACAATTATTCAAGTTATTAGAATCTGTTCTTTTTGTTCGTTTGGACATCTCTGGGGGAATAAAAGTTCCAGCTTTGTCTGGGCCTGGTCATAGACCTGCTCTGTTTTGTCTGTGTTGCAGCAGTCAAGAGGTGGGCATGGAAGGTCACATGCCCTTACAAGCTTCAGGCTGCATTTTCCTGCAGAGGCAGCCGGAGGTGAGGGCATAGACAGTTTGAGCCTAGTTTGGACATTTGACTTGTCCGAACAGTTAAAAAAATTGTAAAATGCTCTTGTCTAAAAAGAAAATTGGATAAAAGATAGGCCAGTTCAGTTTCAGGTGACTCCCACCTAGCCTTCCTCCAGCTGAAGGTATTCACAAGGCCAATTGGTAAAATGCATTGCTAAACAAGCAAGCCCTGGGTAAATGAAGCTCAGCAAAGGCACTTTGTTTTACAAATCTTAAATCTTTAGATCAAGATTCTGGACTGATTTTCATTTTTGTGCACTTTAAGTTTTGTATGAGTATGTTGGAACATGTTTAAGATGAAAATCAGCATGCTGTAAAAAAAAGAGTTTAAACTATAAGGAAGGTCATCAGATTTGTATGCCAAATATCTTAAAGGATTATTGTATTGTTTTAAACAGAAAGTTTAGTTAAACTTTCTAAGAATTCTTTAATTTACAAATCAAAATCTGTATTTTAAAATTTGGTATTTTAAAATGCAAAGGTTGTTTACACTGTAATCAAGTTATCTGACTCAACAAAAAGGCATTGGCTGTTTGGGATTTAGTTCCCTCTGCTAAAACTTGGGGATACTATTAGAAATTTAAATATAAAGGTTTATTTAACACTGTCAAAGATTTTACCTGTTCTGTCTAAAACTTTACCTGTTCTGTCTAAAACTATTTCATTCAAGAACCAAGAAAAAAAAAGGGCAAAACTTAGACTCTAATAGAAGACCTGTCTTTTGAGGTGAGGGATGTAGAGGCAGACGTGCAGCTCAGCCAGTCATGCAGGGTGGGACAGGCCCCGGGGGGAGTCCACGCATGGTAGAAGAGGGCAAGCTGGCACAAAGGCAGTTCAACTAACCCTGAAGAGTTGGGTGCATGCACATTCCTTAGGAGGGGCTGTGTGGCCAATCTTTGTCCTGTCCCTTTCTCTTGCAGACAGAGACAGGAAACATAATGGTAAAAATGAGTGATGTCATGATCTGATTCCTAAAACTGCCACTTGAATGTATTAACTTTGAAAAAGCCTTAAAAATATGGTTAGAAAATTTATCAGTATATGATTTGCTTTCATTGATACTCTGCAATTGGATATGTTTTTTTTTAAAGGCATATAGGTGGGCTGGGAAGGTGGGTCAGTGGTAGAGCACTTGCCTTACATGCATGAGGCCCGGGCTCAGTTCTTTAGCACCACATAAGCAGAAAAGAAACAACCAGAAGAGGCACTGTGGCTCAAGTGGTACAGCGATAGCCTTGAGCTGAAGAGCTGAGGGACACCGCCCAGGCCCAGAGTTCAGGGCCACAACCAGATACCCCCCACCTAAAAAAAAAAAGGCATATAGGTGTTAAGTCTAGCTTCTTGGTACAGTACTGGTGATTAATTCTTGCATTATCAAAAAATGGTCATTTGAGTTCAAAAGTTTTTAATGTATATCTGTTTTAAAATGAGTAGCCAAGAGGAAATAGTGGTACATATCCTCAAGAATTCAAAGGAGTTTTCAAAATACAAATGAAAACTAAAGTATAAAATGTTAAAGCAGAGATTAATAAAAGGCTTAAATTAGGATTGGTAAGTCTTTAGCCCACTTATTTCTTGGGCAGTTGTTTCTTCAAGGTTTGTTGTTGGGGGATTTAACTTTTTGAGTTCCAGGTATATTTTAGATATGAGACACTTGTCCGTTGTGTGGCTAGTGAAGATCTTCTCCCAATCCGTGGGCTTTCTGTTGATCTTGCTAGCTATGTACTTTGCCATGCAGAAGCTCTGCAATTTCATGCAATCCCATTTGTCCAACCTTTCTTTGATTTGTTGTATTTCTAGGTCTCTGTTAGGAAAATTTTGGCCTGTCCCAAGGAGACCTGGGTTTCTATTATTCCATCCTGTAATGTTTTCAGAGTGTCTGCTTTGACTCTGTGGTCTTTGATCCATTTGGAGTTGATTCTGATGCAGAGTGATATATAAGTAGTTAACCAATTTTGCCAGCACCATTTATTGAAGAGGCTGTCTTTCATTCTATTTTTTTTAGCCCTCTTATCCAAGATTACATAGTTATAGGTATGTGGGTTCATTTCTGGGTTTTCAATTCTATTCCATGGGTCCTGAGATCTGTTCTTGAGCCAGTACCAAGCTGTTTTGATTTCTACAGCTTTGTAGTAGAGTTTGAAATTTGGTATTGATATTCCTCTAGCAGTGTTCTTTGTGTTAAGGATCGCTTTTGCTATTCGGGGTCTTTTATTGTTCCATATGAATTTTTGGATTGCCTCTTTTATTTTCCTGAAGAATGAGGTTGGAATATTGATAGGTATCGCATTGAATTTGTAGATAGCCTTGGGAAGTATTGCGATTTTCATGATGTTGATCCTTCCAATGTAGGAGCATGGGAGGTTTTTCCAATTTCTAATTTCTGTTTTGATTCCTTTTTCAAGTTTTTAAAGTAGGTTCCTCATAGACTCCACATAGACCTCCCCTGTGACCCAGCAATCCCACTTTTGGGCATTTACTGGAATGATCACAAGCAAAGCCGTACTAAAGCTACCAGCACAACTATGTTTATTGCAGCATTATTTACCATAGCTAATGTATGGAACCAACCCAGATGCCCCACAGTAGATGAATGGATCAAGAAAATGTGGTATATATGCATAATGGAATTCTATGCCTCTATCAGAAAGAATAACATTGTCCCATTTGTTAGGAAATGGAAAGACTTGGAAAAAAATATATTAAATGAAGTAAGCCAGGCCTAAAGAAACATAGGTCCCATGGTTTCCCTTATTTTCAATAACTAGTACATGTCTGAGACAATCAGAAACAGTCAGATACGTTGATGTTAGGTTAAATGAACCCCAAGATAAGGACTCAAATAGTTTTTCTTTCTTGCTATTGTTTATAACATATTTATAAGATGATTTCTTTGTTGCTTTGTATGTCCCTCCCCCATGGCGGGGGCGGGGGGGGGGTTGGAGGGTGGGGAGGGTGGGAAGATATTGTAAGGGGAAACAAAGGAGGAGGCAACAAATGTACTTATCACCTTGCCCATGTAATTGAAACCCCTCCATATGGTATTTTCACAATAACAACAACAACAACAAAAAAAAACCTTTGAACTTAAAAAAAAATAGGATTGGATGGGCTGGGAATGTGGCTGGGCTGCGAAATTGGCTTAGTGGTAGAGTGCTTGCCTAGCATTCATCAAACCCTGAGTTCAATTTCTCACTACCACGTATTCAGAAAAAGCAGGAAGCAGTGCTAGCCTTGACCAAAAGAAGCTCAAGGACAATGCCTATGCCATGAGTTAAAGCCCAAGGACTGGCAAAAAAAATGGAGATGAATTCCTGGTTATAAAGTTTGAAAGTTAAATTGGTAATATTTGTCTCAAAGTGCAAAAAGGAAAAATTAGGATTACCAAAATAATTGCTTAATTGCTATTTCAGTTTGCTCTTATAGGTTTTTTTTTTTTGTAACAGTTCCCAGCAGGCCCATACAAAGGAGTAAGGATTCTTACAAGTTTGTCAGATATAACTTTCGGCCCTTAATAAGTCTGAGGTAGACCATGCTTTAAAAAACTATTTCTAATGACCATCTTTGTTTCTTTTAATTGGAGTAAACATGGCCTTTTGTTTAGACTTGTTGATCTGAGAACTGTGGTTCAAAGCCAGCCTGGGCAGAGAAAGGTCCCTGTGAGATTATCTCTAATTGGTCAACAGAAGAGTTGTTTTGGGGCTCAAAGTGGCAGAGTGCTAGCCTTGAACTCAGGGCCTGAGCGCTATCGCTCATCTCTCCAGCTCAAGTCCAGTGATTAAGGAAAATGCCAAGGTGTGTGTATCCCAGCATGGAGAAAGACTCTCCTGGGACCCTGGCAATGATGAAACATCCAGAGGCAGTTACAAGCCACTGCTCGGATGGCAGAGATGGTATCAGATCCTGTTTGGCCTTTCAAAAATTGAAGGACTGGGAACGTGGCTCAGTGGTAGAGCACCTGCCTTGCATGCATGAGGCCCTGGGTTCGATTCCTCAGCACCACATAAGAAAAAAGAAAAAAGAGGGAAGTGGCGCTGTGGCTCAAGTGGTAGAGCACCAGCCTTGAGCTGAAGAGCCCAGGGGGCAGCGCCCAGGCCCAGAGTTCAGGCCCCACGACTGGACACCCCCCCCCCAAAAAAATTGATCAGAGCCAGGAAGTCATGAGAAAGTAAATTGTAATCATGCCTTTCTAAATGTTTGTCTGCTTCATAATTGGGCAAGAATGTGCCAGTCAT